AGTCCTGGAGGTGGGAAGTAAAGTGCCTATACGCTGAACAATAGGTGGGGATGTTGTAGTCTGGAGAGTCATTTGAATTGTGATATCTGTGTACTTCTGGCAGGGCATCTTTTGAATAAGTTAGAGTGAATGTGTGTACTTTCTCAGGTTACCCTACCTTGATGAGTCAGCCAGAGTTAAAAAAAAATCTGGGAAGCACCAAACCTAAAAAGGGTCAGAGAGCTCCTGGGAGTAGCTGGATATCATGTTTAATCCAAGAAGGAGAATGGTAGTTCTAATTCCTTAAATCATTCTTTAACTCAGGAGAAACAAAAGCAAACTTTCTAAGCCAAAATGGAAGTGAAAAATATTACCATATCTTGGTTTATAACTTCTGTTGTGTCTTCTTCAGACTTGTCTGACAACACAATACCGTCGTTCTCGGCTACACACTACCCAAGGTTTGTTTACAAAAGACAAAAGCAAGATATGGAAATATCAGTTATGCTTCAACAAAACAGAAAAAATATATGACAAAGAGTCATATACAACATGAAATTAACTTTAAAAATAAAATAATGACACCAGAAAATAATATGTAACCAATTGCCTAAGACCACATGTACATTTCAGTCATAGAGTCTATCTCGAGAATAGTCACAATATCATGGCTGGAACAAATCATAAATAGCGTGCACTTAGGAGAGGCGACACATAATGACGTTTCAGTCTGTTCTAGACAACTGTCAAGTGACAAGTGAGTGAGAAACAGCAGAGATGGCCACAAGATAGAATGGAAAGATTTATGACTTGACAATGATCCACAATGGACCAAAAGGCATCATAAGTGTCTTAAGTGTGTGTTATTTATGAGTAAGTCTAGCTCTACTCATCCTTTGATGTTATTATAATCGAGGGGAAGCACTGCACCTGTAGGGGTTATGCAATGCCTGGGGAATGGAAGGCAATAAAGCTTGATCTTAGGAAAGAAAGGGTAGCTTGAATTCCCTAGATCAAAAGCCCTTTTCTAGCATCATCACACCTTGAGAGAATGTCCTTTTGATAGAAAAAAGAATGACAGTAGGGTCACCCTCCCTTGATGACTGATATTTTAATAAAATAATTTAGGTGCTGCAAGCATTTACACACAATCTCCTCCAAAGATGAATGTGTGTGTGTGTGTAAATGAGTGAAAGTGATCAGGTATTTCTGTTCTCTTGACATTTACATTGTAATTTCTTACAAGAGATCCATCTAGGGGTGACACACAAGGCACATCTGGCAACAAATCAATCTATGTGAGAAAGGTGATGACATTTCAACTTTTTTCTCATACTTGAGCTGTACCAGCCGACTATAAGTATTGCAGTGCTGCACTCTGAAGAAACGAGCATAAAATCATGCAAATTAGGTTACCTCTTGTGAAGCGCTGCTACAAGCACCAATTTGCATGGGCAGCTGAAATGTATCGACTCGAGTATTACATGGTGAAAAGAAAAATTGCATTTTTTTTTTTTTCAACAAGTTGGCCATCTCCCACCGAGGCAGGGTGACCCAAAAAAGAAAGAAAATCCCCAAAAAGAAAATGCTTTCATCATCATTCAACACTTTCACCACACTCACACATAATCACTGTTTTTGCAGAGGTGCTCAGAATACAACAGTTTAGAAGCATATACGTATAAAGATACACAACATATCCCTCCAAACTGCCAATATCCCAAACCCCTCCTTTAAAGTGCAGGCATTGTACTTCCCATTTCCAGGACTCAAGTCCGACTATATGAAAATAACCAGTTTCCCTGAATCCCTTCACTAAATATTACCCTGCTCACACTCCAACAGATCGTCAGGTCCCAAGTACCATTCGTCTCCATTCACTCCTATCTAACACGCTCACGCACGCTTGCTGGAAGTCCAAGCCCCTCGCCCACAAAACCTCCTTTACCCCCTCTCTCCAACCCTTTCGAGGATGACCCCTACCTCGCCTTCCTTCCCCTATAGATTTATATGCTTTCCATGTCATTCTACTTTGATCCATTCTCTCTAAATGACCAAACCACATCAACAACCCCTCTTCTGCCCTCTGACTAATACTTATTAACTCCACACCTTCTCCTAAGGTGTGGATAACTACACTAAAACATTCTTTTATTGCTATAGGAAAGAAGGTAACTGAAGGCAGCTCACAGCTGTTTGCTTCACAGGTTGAGCTACTGATACTAAGTAAGAGCATAGTAATATAAAAAAAAAAATGCCCTCAAAAATTTAGTAATTATGTATAAAAGCTTGTAAAAAAATATATTAACTACATATGGTGCCAATGCAGGACAAGCTACATAGGAATGGCAATCTTTAGCTCTACATATTTTGCACTCTCATACAAGAGTGTAAAAGATCTACAGTTAGATTTCTAACCCCATGTGGCTTATTCTGCATTGTTAAGATTGCCTTCTTCATGCACATACTGGTACTTCCCACATTCAAACAACAATGACAGTCTTGCTACTGTCTCTCTCTAATTAAGAAGCTAATAATCACAAAACTATTAAGTGTATGTGGGATAATTCTACAAGGATAAGTGGCAGATAAAAAGAAAGTTATTAATATGAATAATGCAAGGCCTGGTCACAGCCTGGGCCGTGGAGGCATCGACCCCAGAAACCCTCTGGGGTCTGAATAAACTTACTTACCTGGAGAGGGAGAGGGAGTTGCTGTAAGAGTATGAAAAGATTATGGCATCTACAGAACTTATGACTTTCTTTTGTGCCCAACAATGTTTTATTACATGTAAACAACATTATTCTCCGTGGGGAAATGAACAAAAATTTTTACTCCATAAGCCATGCATATCGTACGAGGTGACTAAAATGCCCGAAGCAAGAGGCTAGTAGCACCTCCTGTATGAATTACTAAATGTAAAAAGAAAAACTTTTGTTTCTCTTTTTAGGTTCCCCTGCCTCAGTGGGATATGGCCGGTGCGTCGGAAAAAAAAAATTACATTACGTATTTGTATACTGCATAAAAGAAAAAAAACATTTAATGGTCCAAGCTGGAATGAAACGTTATCACAAGTTTCTCTCTCCTTGATAAGATTCATGTTTAATTTATTCCACAATTTCAGGTCTCCCTTACAATGCCTATCCCTATTTTTGCCTATTAACACTTGGCAGCCTCCGTTAAATACAAAAAAATAACAAACACCTCATGCCTGGCCACAAACGCACAACTCCTGTTAAATGACAATCTCCTGCAGTCAAAGTACATGTACTTAGGAATTATCTTCCATTGTTACTTTGCTTGCGAAGTTACAAAAACAATTATGACTATAAGTGAATCTCAGACTTATATTTCAATGCATAAGCTAATTCAGATAAAGATAAGAAACAAGCAGAGAATTGTTTGTAACTTTTGTTATATTCAGAGCTTTACCAACTTGATAAAGTACATGATATAGTTATCAGTTGACCTGACAAAACTCTGCCTAAAGGAAAATGTTGCCAAAATAAAGGTTTACTCAGCATCTAAATTTGGCAATTCATTTTTTATTTGTTTTGTTTTTCAACAAGTCGGCCATCTCCCACCGAGGCAGGGTGACCCAAAAAAGAAAGAAAATCCCCAAAAAGAAAATACTTTCATCATCATTCAACACTTTCACCTCACTCACACATTATCACTGTTTTTGCAGAGGTGCTCAGAATACAACAGCTTAGAAGCATATACATATAAAGATACACAACATATCCCTCCAAACTGCCAATATCCCAAACCCCTCCTTTAAAGTGCAGGCATTGTACTTCCCATTTCCAGGACTCAAGTTATATACTGTCATACACTGTACTATTAATTTATGGAGTGAGTTAAACAAGTTAAGAAAGCCTAGGGAAAGTATGGATTTGTCAGTTAAAAACAGAGTAGGGGAGTTAGTAGATGGGGAGATGGAGGTATTAGGTAGATGGCGAGAATATTTTGAGGAACTTTTAAATGTTAAGGAAGAAAGAGAGGCAGTAATATCATGCAATGGCCAGGGAGGTATACCATCTTTTAGGAGTGAAGAAGAGCAGAATGTAAGTGAGGGGGAGGTACGTGAGGCATTACGTAGAATGAAAGGGGGTAAAGCAGCTGGAACTGATGGGATCATGACAGAAATGTTAAAAGCAGGGGGGGATATAGTGTTGGAGTGGTTGGTACTTTTGTTTAATAAATGTATGAAAGAGGGGAAGGTACCTAGGGATTGGCAGAGAGCATGTATAGTCCCTTTATATAAAGGGAAAGGGGATAAAAGAGATTGTAAAAATTATAGAGGAATAAGTTTACTGAGTATACCAGGAAAAGTGTACGGTAGGGTTATAATTGAAAGAATTAGAGGTTTTGTGGGCAAGGGGCTTGGACTTCCAGCAAGCGTGCGTAAGCGTGTTAGATAGGAGTGAATGGAGATGAATGGTACTTGGGACCTGACGATCTGTTGGAGTGTGAGCAGGGTAATATTTAGTGAAGGGATTCAGGGAAACCGGTTATTTTCATATAGTCGGACTTGAGTCCTGGAAATGGGAAGTACAATGCCTGCACTTTAAAGGAGGGGTTTGGGATATTGGCAGTTTGGAGGGATATGTTGTGTATCTTTATACGTATATGCTTCTAAACTGTTGTATTCTGAGCACCTCTGCAAAAACAGTGATAATGTGTGAGTGTGGTGAAAGTGTTGAATGATGATGAAAGTATTTTATTTTTGGGGATTTTCTTTCTTTTTTGGGTCACCCTGCCGCAGTGGGAGACGGCCGACTTGTTGAAAAAAAAAAAAAAAATTAACATGTCAGCCATTTCCCATCGAGACAGGGTGACCAAAAAAGAAAGAAAAAACTTTCATCGTCATTCAACACTTTCACCATCACTTATACATAATCACTGTCTCTGCGGAGGTGCTCAGATACTACTACTTTTTTCATTTCATTTTTATTCAATTTTTTGTTATATTTTTTAAAACATTCCACACGAGCAAGAATACGAAGGTTAACTCTTACCCTACGGTAGAGGAGCGAGTGGATCGAGGTCCGGCAGGGAAAGATCATCAGCGGAAAACTTATCGCCAGGGAGACCGTGAAGAAGACTTTAATACCTTCTGTCAGGTGAGAACTTGGGAAACTCAGGATGAGGTTACCTGAAATATGAACATCCTCACTAGCATAATTCACAAGTCTAAAGTTCAGGTTTCCAAGGAGGAACAAAAATACGAACTTTGCATCAGGGTAAGAGTGTACATGTCATAAAAACAAAATTACTGTACTAAGCTCACTAATGAAGCTAGTTTATTTAGTGTCATGTTTTGCAAATATAATTGAAACAATGTATATAAAATGTAACTGAAACAATGTATACAAAATGTACAGTGGACCCCCGACATTCGATATTAATCCGTTCCTGGGAGCTCATCGAATGTCAAAAGTATCGAAAGTCGAATTAATTTTCCCCATAAGAAATAATGGAAATCAAATTAATCCATGCAAGACACCCAAAAGTATGAAAAAAAAATTTTTACCACATGAAATATTAAGTTTAATGCAATAGAATTACAATAACAACAATAACAATAGATTAATAACAATAGAATAATTAACACTTACCTTTAATGAAGATCTGGTGATGATTGATGGGATGGGAGGAGGGGAGAGTGTGGATGGTGTTAGTGTTTAGAAGGGGAATCCCCTTCCATTAGGACTTGAGGTGTCGAGTCCTTTTCCGGGGTTACTTCCCTTCTTCTTTTAATGCCTCATGAAATCGTAATGACACGATTGCAAACAAACCATACCCCGGCCGGGATTTCGTGAGTCATGTTGACGGCAGTGAAGGGACTTGAGCTAGAGTTCGTCACGGCCACGCTAGGTGGAGATTCATCTGTAAAAACTTGCATTTGTGGTCACAGTGGTGCCTGTGCTAACCTTCCTATGGTGTAGAAATATACCTAGTTGGACGAATCTTATTGTGGCTAGCTGGTCTAGTGGCTAACGCAACGGGCTGGAGTTTTGAGACTCTCTGACCGCGGGTTCAATCCCGGCCGGGGTATGGTTTTTTTTAATGCCACTAGGACCAGCTTGAGAGTCACTGGACCTCTGTCGCACAACATATCTGTCCATAGAGCTCTGTACCTCCCATTCCTTTAAGATTTGTCTAAAATGGACCACAACATTGTCATTGTAATAGCCACCAGCACAGCTTGCAATAGCTGTGTTAGGGTGATTTTCATCCATAAAGGTTTGCAGTGCAACCCACTGTGTACACATTTCCTTAATCTTTGAAGTAGGCACAATGGATTCCAAACCCTTCAAAATCTTACTTAATTTCCATACTAATTCTCACCCTTTTTACCACAGGGTTGGCACTAGAAGCTTTCTTGGGGCCCATGGTGACTTATTTTGCAGAAACAAGCACCAAAAACAGTAATAATATGGATAATATGGAATGTACCGAATGTATCCTCAGATGTGCGCACACTGGCTGGCTTGTAAACACTGGCACACACGGGGCAGTTCAGGCCACATGTGGACACGTCTCATACGAATCGTATTGAATAGCGGGTTTTCGATCGAATGTCGAGGCAAAATTTTTGCGTTAAAATGCATCGAATGTTGGATTTATCGAATGTTGATGCCATCGAATGTCGGGGGTCCACTGTAATTGAAACAATGTATACAAAATGTAGCTGAAACAATGTACACAAAAGCAAATAGCATGTACTGCAAAAGCCTTCTCATGTGCGACTCAATTTTGCATATTGTTTTTTTAACACACCAGCCATTTCTCCACCAAGGCTGGGTGGCCCAATTTTGCATATACTTTTCAACTGCATTTACAAAAAAATAGCATTATATAGAGGAACTCTGTAAGAGAGCTGACTGTACAGTGGTCCCTCGCTTTTCGTAGTTCTCGGCAATCGTAAATTTCGCCAATCATAGGGGTATTTTCGTATAAACATGGACTCGCTTTTCATAGGTTGACTCGCGAATAGTAGTTCGTCCGGGATGCGTACGCACGGTGTGAACCAGGGCGGCCTCCCTACCCAGCCAGTCTGGCATTGTTTACCAGTGAGTGGGTCCCCTCAAGTGCTCCTACAAAATATTTCATAATATTCCACTCATTTTAGTGCTTGCAGTTACTAAATAAGCTACCATGGCTCCAAAGAAAGCTCTTAGTGCCAAGCCTGTGGTAAAGAAGGTGAGAAATATGTACAGTGACAAAGTCTTGGGCCATTTTAGGGAAGTGTTAAAGAGACGCCAGAAACAGAGCTCTCTCCACAGTTACTTTGCGAGACAGGACTCCAGTGACTCTCAAGGTGGTCCTAGTGGCATTAAGAAACAGAGAAGAGAAGCAACCCCAGAGAAGCAATTGGTACCTGAGGTGTTGCTGGAAGGGGATTCCCCATCCAAACTGTAAACAATCCACTCTCTCTCCTCCTCCAGTCTCCCATACACTAAGAAGAATCTCCAATAAAGGTAAGTGTTATGCTGTTAATGTTTCATTCATCATTTCCCATTGTATTGTTTATGTACTACATCTATATTTCATGTAAAAAAAAATTTTGTTTTAATACTTCTGGGTGTCAGGAACGGATTAATTGTATTTACATTATTTCTTATGGGGAAAATTGATTCGCAAATCGTAAATTTCGTTTATAGTAGCTCCTCCAGGAACGGATTAATTACGAAAAACGAGGGACCACTGTATATACAAGAGGACCCCAATATACAGACAAGATGAGTTGGTGGTGTTACAACTTACAAATGAATCATTGGTGTGGAAATGAAATACCATATTTCGCAGCTTATTAGACATCCTTTTTTCCATAAAATGTCTCCAAAAACCATCCTGAGTCCTATAAACTGAAAATCAGTGACGGGAGCTATATGTTTGGGGTGTGGGGTGGGCTGTAGCTCTCCCAGTTACATCCGATGCCGAACCATTAAAACTAAAACAAGTCTCATAAGCCGCGAAATAAGGTATGTTTTACCCACATTTGTATTACTGCTCAATGGTTGGAAAACTAACTGGCTCCTATGTTCCACATCTGTAACTCAGGGCAACTGTCATTATCTCCAGGTACAGAGATAATGACTCATAAACGAAAAAGGAAATTTAAGTGACAATTTAGCATATACAATTTCTGTATTTAAGTAGAGTAAATATGATTAAAGAGGTGAAATAGCAGTTTACTAAGCTGGTGGTAAAACATATGTTAGATAAACCTTCATGACATACAAATACGTATATTATTATTATAATCAAGGGGGAAACGCTACATACGGAGGATTATACAGCGCCTGGGGGGGGATGTGGTAGGCATTCAGGCTTAATTCGGGGAACTGGAGCACAGATCCAATTCCCTAAAACAAGAGCCCCTCACCAACATCAAGGAACCTTCCTTGAGGGGACATACAAATATAGCAAATCAAACCACATCAAATTACCTACATCAAACAAATAAACAAAGTTTATTTCTATAAAGTGAAGTACAGTATATTATACAATTAGGGTAATTGACATATATAAACTACATGTACTTTATTAAAAGCTCCTTATTATGCAAGGCATTTTGGGCAACCTTAAAACTAAATTACGATTACTAGTACATGTATAGTGGAACCTCGGTACTCAAACAGCTCCCTACTCGAACAATTCGGTATTCGAAGGCTTTATTCAGTAAAAAAAATTGCTCGGCAGTTGACCATTTGCTCGGCACTCGACCAAACAAACACGACCGGCCAGAACTTCGTTGTAAACTATTTTGTTACTTCGCATTTTTTGGCGATTCTTTTATATTATTTGCATAAATAAGTCACCATGGGGCCTAGGAAGATTAGTAATAACAGCCAACCATAAAGAAAATTGGTTAGGAAAAATTCTTTCGGCACTTGAACAGATCGGCACTCGAACAGCCTTCTGGAACGAATTAAGTTTGAGTTCCAAGGTTCCACTGTGTATGAGAACAAGAATACTTAGTTTTTATTATAATGGAGGTAATTAGTAATTCAATACCAAAAAATCTAATTAGTGATATATTAAGGATGAGGCCAGGTACACAAGTTAAAAGAACGATAGACAAGGCCAGTTCAGAGAATATTTGTTGACAATGTTTTTGAAGATATTGGGAGCTAAATTCATACACAATGTATAAAAAAAAAAGCCTACCCGCCAAGTCTTGATCAACAAATGCCACGTATCCCAAAAAGCCAACAGATATGTAGAGAGCACAGCAGAGATTGACAGCATGGTTCACCACTGATCTCATCTTGGGCACATCAGGGTCAGGTATGGAGTCGTATATCTCAAACACATTGCTGAAAGACAAAACAAATAATGATGTAGCAATACAGAAGAATTAAAATAATTATGTCCTGGTACTGAGTTATCTGGTCTCTCTCAATGAAAAAAAAAGGCAAGGTAATATACTATACCTCAAATTTATTCTTATATTTAATTTTATTTTCCATGGGGAAGTGCCTAACAATATTTTATGCATAACTATGAGAGAGCTTTCTGTACTCAGGTTTCATCCAGATATCAATCCAATTCTCCATGTAGAAGTGGAACAGAATTCTTCCTCTTTAAGCCATGCGTGTCGTAAGAGGTGACTAAAATGCTGGAAGCAAGGGGCTAGTAACCCCTTCTCCTATATACACCTATCATCCGACTTACGACCGAGTTCGGTTCCGAGAAACCGGTCGTAAGTTGAACTTTACTACTGAATATCAACAAAACATTTTTGTAATGACTTTATTTTATTGTTTTATTTTGGTATTTCATGTTTTACTTTACTTTTTATGTTGTTAGTACTGTATTTATACTGTAAGGTTTAGGATAAACACTGTGTACAACACAAATAGTTGTTTAATTCCCAGAAATTTGGCATAAAAAATATGGTCATAAGTCGAGTGGTCGTAAGTTGAGCAGGTCGTAAGTCGGATGGTAGGTGTACATTACTAAAGTTCTGAAGAGAAACTTTTTTTTCTTTTTGGGCCACCCTGCCTTGGTGGGATACCGCCGGTTTGTCGAAAGAAGATCACTCCAAGTCATTAATTAGCACAAGTGTCTTTCAACAGCATCAAGACACCTCCCTGGAAGGTATGAACAAAGAGTATGACAGTGTAACATAGCTCACCTCTGACAGGAAAGACCCAGCATGCAGATGGGAAGAACTTGAAGTGCCCCTGACGGTCGAAACAGCTCAGCCATGTGGTACCAAGACCCGTCCATTAATTTGGGAAAGGCATGCCACAAGATCTGCCAAATTTCATAATGAATTTCAAAAAAAGCACCTTACAAGAATCTAAATATATACACACGACCCACACATAGGAGACTGAAAATTATGAGGATACTTTGGTCCAACCTGGACCATTAACTAGTCACTTTAGCCATTAACTAGTCAATCTATCAATGTCCTGCCAGGGGAAAGACAGTGACAGAGTGAATGATGGTGAAAGTGTTTCTTTTATGGGTCACCCTGCCTTGATGAGAGACTGCTAGTGTATTAAAAACAATAAAATTCAAACTACAACAAAACATGCAGAATCTATCATTAAACAACCTATACATAAAACTATTTAAATTTCACAACATACATTAGATGGCATTACAATTCATCCTGGACCTTTACAATATCAAGTAAAAGAAAGTGAGAAAGTCAGATGAAAGGTTAAATGAAAAGGTAAGAGACAGCCAGAGTTAAAAGAGGAGAAGAGACAGTTGCGGTGCAACGGCCAGGGTTAGGAAAGGTGGGATGACCAAGGTCAAAAGAGGTGAGAAGACAGCCAGGGTCAAGGGAGAGAGAGAGATGAAGAAACAGCTATGATTGGAAGAGATAAGGAGATACATCAGGGGGTGAGGAGACAGACAGGGCCAAGAGAAATGAGGAGACAGCTACTATTGGGAAAGTTGAAGAGACAGCCAAGGTCAGGAAAAGTGAGGAGCCAAAATTATATCAAGTTTTCTCCCTGAATTGTCAGTTGGTTATGAATTATTGTAGCTATGATACTCTTGGCGTGCATGAGCGTGTTCAATAGGAGTGAATGGAGACGAATGGTATTTGAGACCTGATGATCTGTTAGAGTGTGAGCGAGCAGAGTAATATTTAGTGAAGGGATTCAGAGAAACCAGTTATTTTTACATAGCAGGACTTGAGTCCTGGAAATGGGAAGTACAATGCCTGCACTCTAAAGGAAGGGTGTCGGGATATTAGCAGTTTGGAGGGATATGTTGTGTATCTTTATACGTATATGCTTCTAAACTGTTGTATCCTGAGCACCTCTGCAAAACCAGTGATTATGTGTGAGTAGGGTGAAAGTGTTGAATGATGATGAAAGTATTTTCTTTTTGGGGCTTTTCTTTCTTTTTGGGTCACCCTGCCTCGGTGGGAGACGGCCGACTTGTTAAAAAAAAAAAAAATGATACTCTGACATATACATTTCATATTAACATTCTAAATAACACGAGCAATACAACTAACAAAACACTTGTAAATTCAAGTTTACTTCAGCCATCACACATGAAAAGTTTTTCCACTATCTGGTCACAAATCTTTACAAATATTGAAGTAAAAAACTATCATTTTCACATTATTTTTACTGAAAGAACAATTTTTTTACCATAAATAAAAAGCAAACTTACAACCAGGATAAGAAAGAAGTAGAATCCTATTGAACAGGCAGACATGGACGCTAGACTGTCTAGATTCCGCAGTAAACACAAAGGTAACACGACCAGTACGGTAACACCTGAAAAACAAAATTACTCTTTTTCATTATAAGAGCAAATATGACAAAGATCACAAAAGCTAACAAAGAGCCTCATTTAAGAGCTAAGAATATTACACCTACCATCCAACTTACGACCGAGTTTCGGTTCCGAGAAACCGGTCGTAAGTCGAAATGGTCGTAAGTCGAACTTTACTACTGAATATCAACAAAACATTTTTGTAATGACTTTATTTTATTGTTTTATTTTGGTATTTCATGTTTTACTTTACTTTTTATTTGTTAGTACTGTATTTTATACTGTAAGGTTTAGGATAAACACTGTGTACAACACAAATAGTTGTTTATTTCCCAGAAATTTGGCATAAAAAACACGGCCGTAAGTCGAGTGGTCGTAAGTCGAGCAGGTGTAAGTCGGATGGTAGGTGTACTTGCAAACCCAACTGGGTTAATATATCACTGATACAGAATACATGTTCAATATTTAGTCAACTTGTATGTAGAAAGGCAACAAAGTGAAATAATTCACAAATAACCTGCACTTAGGATAGGAAGCTTATGATGATGTCCTGGCCCACCTTGAACTGTTGGAAAGTCACAACAGTTGTAACTTGACAACAGTTCAGAACAAACTGAAATGTCTTAAGATTTCTCTCCTAAGAATGGGTCATCTGTGAATTGTTCCAGCCACGGTACTGTGACTTTTATTCTTCATCAACAAATCAAAAATAAGAAAAGTGCAATGAATAACATCACTGCACAGTACTCTTATATGAGAGAATACACCATAATAACATTCAGTCAATATTTATATCAATATAGTATTAATACAGTGGACCCCCGCTTAACGATTACCTCCGAATGCGACCAATTATGTAAGTGTATTTATGTAAGTGCGTTTGTACGTGTATGTTTGGGGGTCTGAAATGGACTAATCTACTTCACAATATTCCTTATGGGAAAAAATTCGGTCAGTACTGGCACCTGAACATACTACTGGAATGAAAAAAGTTCGTTAACCGGGGGTCCACTGTATTCACAAACATTCTCTCTCAGTCAACAGCAAGATTCAAACCTGCACACTCTGCATCAAAGTACGCAGTATTTTATGCACACATCCAGACCCTAGGATAAACTATTGCGTACTTTATCCAGACCCTAGGATAAACTATTGCGTACTTTAATGATGAGTGTACAGGTTTGAATCCTACTGTGGGCTGAGAGATAACATTTGTAAATAATTTCATTCATTTGTGAATTGTTAAGCATAGTATTAACCCTTTCAGAGTCGACAGGCCCTCTCAGAGACTTGTTCTCAGGGTCAGCCAAATTTAAAAAAAAAAAAAAAAAAAAAAAAAAAAAAATTCTTGTGAAAAGATAATCTTTTCCTGATCATAATGACACCAAAAGTATGAAATTTGATGGAAAACTTATGGAATTATGCTCTCGTGAAGTTAGCGGTCTCGATGATGTTTACTCATCGGTGATTTTGCCCACGTTGAGCCCTATTTTCGGCCAATTCCAGTGTACATACTTGTTGACAAAAATCATAACTATTTTGCTAGAACTCCATTTTTTCTATCGAATTAGTACAAGAAACCACCCATTTACCAATTTCAACTATCCAGTACAGTGGTCAGAATTTAGCAATTTTGCCAATTTCACACAAATTTCAAAAGTTGCCAATTTCCGAATAGGGTCAGAATAAACAAGAAAGACATTCCTGGCACTAAAATGACATTTCCTCTGTTCATTAGTCACGTCTCAAGGCCCCTCTTACATTCTTTTGCTTTCCACTACGAATTTTTATTCTCACAAAAAAATAGAAGATTTACTGTTATGCAGACTACTGCATTAGTGTATAATTGGTATAAATAATATCAGCGCATTTGTGAAAGAATATTAGATTCACCAGTTGACGTGTATTGGACGCATAGCATGATTTGTTTACTTTTGAACTTTGCTAAAAATCGAATATTTCTGCTACTTTGAGCTCAATTTCAAGGTATTTTTCTTTGTAAAACCAGCCAAAATCATCTCAATTTCTGTAATATGTCTTCCATTCTATAAAATGAGACCACGAAAACTAGAATACAACAATAAATACCATACAAAAATACAGTGCAAAGTCGCTGTTTTAATCCAAGAACACAGTCAAAGTTTTTTTTTTTTTCATTACGCACTGTGTGCTGCAGGATTTTTTTTATACCATGCATACTGGCCACATAGACCCATTCTTTCATATGTAGGCCTACCAGCTTTCCTTACACTAGATTTGAGAGTGCTAGGATTTAGGAGTACTAGTACAGTGGACCCCCGCATAACGATATTAATCCGTTCATGAGAGCTCATTGTTATGCGAAATTATCGTTTTGCGAATGAATTTTCCCCATAAGAAATAATGGAAATCAAATTAATCCGTGCAAGACACCCAAAAGTATGAAAAATAAAATTTTACCACATGAAATATACATTTTCCTACACACAAAGAGAAGGATACATGCACAATAGTAGAGTAGTACATGCACAGTATATATTGTGCATGTACTACTCTACTAAATGAAGAATAAATGACACTTACCTTTATTGAAGATGCAGCAATGACTGATGAGACACTGTGTCCTGGGAGTGCCTTTTCCTCCTGAGTACTGTATGTCCTGTTTGGCATTTTCTTCCAGAACAGGCCTTATCACACTGTGTATGCCACTACAATTCTTAAATCTCTCAAACCAACCTTTGCTGGCTTTAAATTCACCAATATGAGCACTAGTTCCAGGTGTTTTTCCCTGTTCACCTGGGTGTTAGTCGACTGGTGTGGGTTGCATCCTGGGAGACAAGATTAAGGACCCCAATGGAAATAAGTTAGACAGTCTTCGATGACACTGACTTTTTTGGGTTATCCTGGGTGGCTAACCCTCTGGGGTTAATTGTTTCTTGGTATTCTCAATAAGCCACACTAACAACGGTGCTACAGCAGCAGCAGCAGCAGCTGACAGTGCTACAGCAGCAGCAGACAATGCTACAGAAGCAGCAGACGGTACTACAACAGCAGCAGCAGCAGCTGATGGTGGTACAGCAGCAGCAGCAGCTGACAGTGCTACAGCAGCAGCAGCAGCTGACAGTGCAGCAGCTGACAGTGCTACAGCAGCAGCAGACGATGCTACAGCAGCAGCAGACGATGCTACAGCAGCAGCAGACGATGTTACAGCAGCAGCAGACGGTACTACAGCAGCAGCAGCAGCTGACGGTGGTACAGCAGCAGCAGCAGCTGACGGTGCTACAGCAGCAGCAGCAGCTGACAGTGCTACAGCAGGAGCAGCATCAGCAGTTGACCATGGTACCACAGTATTTCGATAATATTTCTCACCCTTTTTTACCACAGGGTTGGCACTAGAAGCTTTCTTGGGGCCCATGGTCACTTATTTTGCAGATAAAATCACCAAAAACACTGTAATAATACGAAATGTTACGATTGTATGCTTGGATGTTACCGTGGAGGCTGGCTTGTAAACAATGCCACTGGCGGAACATGTGAGGCTGGCTCAGGCCGCACATTAGACGCGTCTCGGACAAATAGTTTGAGCGGGTTTTTTAGCGGTATGTGAGGCAAAATCTTAGCGATAAAATGTATCGGTATGTGGGTTTAACGTTATGTGATGCCAACAGTATGTGGGGGTCCACTGTACGTCAAAAACTCTGATGCATAAGCCATACTAGGACGGCCGAAACCCTGAAAGGGTTAATGCATATGTGAAAAGATCGTGGTGTATTCATTGTTAGTTAACTTTAACATAGTTGAAAACATTAAGATGAAGCTCACCAATGAGGAGAGTGCAACGCAGAGATGGAGAATTCTCAATATCCATTAATCGGGCAATAATTGCTGGTGCCAAGTCACCCATCACAACATGGAAGGATATGCAGATCCCGATCAGAAAGAGAATCATGCACAGCTCTACAAACAGCTTTCCACTCACTCCAAATACATGGAATGCTGAAAATAGTAAAAATTAAATCAATATAGGTTGTTATTTTCTGGGAATGATGCAGGCATAACAGAATTTATAATAATTTCACATATTGGATTTCATCCAATGCTAAACTCAAAATGACCATTCAAAACAAGGAATGGGACACGTTCAAACCTTCCTCCGCTAATCACTACTCAGCCTGAGATCACTGTGATTGCCATAACAGATTTCAGAGATTACAAAACATTCCATGTCTGTCGTAAGAGGCGACTAAAATGCCGGGAGCAAGAAGCTAGTAACTCCTTCTCCAGTATATATTACTAAATTTGAAAGGAGAAACTTTAGTTTTTCCTTTTGGGCCGCCCCGCCTCGGTGGGATACGGCTGGTACGTTGAAAGAAGAAGATTACAAAACATTACAATATTTTATCAACCTTAAAGAATGAAAAAGGTTATTCACTAGGGTTATGAAGGGTGTCTTACAGTAATCAAATTGTCAACTCCATGCTTACACGTAGTGTACCTCCTCACCAACTTTACCTGCCACGGAAGTGGACATATCATGCATAGTATTATGTATTATTATGGCATTACCAGTTCTAAAGCACTTCACAAATGCTGAGTGTACTAGACCTTCTCTTTGGTAGACTGGTTTTAAGAGCAGGGTTTCTATCTTGCCATTAACAGAGAACTAAGCCTCCATCCTTCCTTGCACTAAATAACCCACACATGATTTACACTTTTCAATAATACAACAGTAATATGGCCTTCACTAATGCCATAATTCTATAGAACCTACCTGCATATACTGAACTCTAGTACAGAATGACTTGTAATTATTGCTCATTTGTATGATTATGAAGGGTCTTTAAGAATAAATTCCGTCAAGTAAATTCTTTAAAATTCTTACTGGAGTACAGCCTCTCCTCACTTAGCGACGTACTCGTTTACCGACGTCTCAGACTTACAACGGGCTGTCTGACCAGTTTGTATATTTAAATAATGTATATTAGAGCTGATTTTCTCTATTCTGTTTATTACAATATACAGTACACTACTGTATAAACATTTAAAAAATATACCAGAAAAGTTATAAATGGAGCAAAGGTGACATTAAAACAATATAAAAAATACTTGACACAAATCCACCACCATTATAGTATGCTCCTCACTTAGCGACAAATTCGTTTACTGACGTGGTCTTAGGAATGGAACTTTGTTGTTAAGTGAGGAGAGGCTATATTTAAAAAATATATATAGTGTACTACTGCATATAATACTGGGAGTTTCTCTTAAGGAAATGAAAATTAAGACCATAGCTTGATAGTTACAGTAAAACTAACACTTCAAAGAAAATCTTGTGATTTTCCTTGATTAATAAATGGTAGAATCAGCAGTGGCAAACTCACCCCAAAATAATTTTAAGATAAATAACAGAAATCTAATTACATCGTGCATATTTCCAGCAACAGAAACCTTTTAAAAATCTAAAATTATTTTGGGGTGAGTTTTTGAGTTTGCCACTGTTGACTACCATTTCTATAAACATTACATCAAACAACATTTCCGATATCTTTGACAGGTGTTATTAATTTATTAGTCAAGGAAAATCACATGATGTGTATTTTCATCATAAGATGACCCATTCAGTGGTGCTGACCTCTGTGGTGCTGACCTCAGTGGTGCTGACCTCTGAAGTGCCTTTACTGTATTGTGCGTAGTATGTAAGGGGAAGGAAAGAGGGGTAGGGGTCGTCCTCGAAAGGGTTGGAAAGAGAGGGTAAAGGAGGTTTTGTGGGTGAGGGGCTTGGACTTCCAGCAAGCGTGCATGAGCGTGTTAGATAGGAGTGAATGGAGACGAATGATACTTGGGACCTGACGATCTGTTGGAGTGTGAGCAGGGTAATATTTAGTGAAGGGATTCAGGGAAACCGGTTATTTTCATATAGTCGGACTTGAGTCCTGGAAATGGGAAGTACAATGCCTGCACTTTAAAGGAGGTGTTTGGGATATTGGCAGTTTGGAGGGATATGTTGTGTATCTCTATACGTATATGCTTCTAAACTGTTATATTCTGGGCACCTCTGCAAAAGCAGTGATAATGTGTGAGTGTGGTGAAAGTGTTGAATGATGATGAAAGTATTTTCTTTTTGGGGATTTTCTTTCTTTTTTTGGGTCACCCTGCCTCGGTGGGAGACGGCCGACTTGTTGAAAAAAAAAAAAAAAAAAAAATGTAAGGGACTGAACATGTCATACTTTTTATAAAACAAGGGAAATTTTGAATGTTATTGAAAAATGCCGACTACAATTAAGCCCTATCACATGCAAAATAGTCTTGATTTTTCCTCACCACTGACTTTATGAGCTACGAGCTGTGGTCCTTCCTCAGCGCATTACAAAGGCCAACCCTATCTTAGTTATCTTCAGTTACCTAATATGCAATAAGGGATATTAAAATGTACTGCTCCATAACCTGTGTCAATTTAGAGTAAGAATTAGGTAGTAGGTTGTTAAACAGCAACCGCCCGGGGAGGTACTACCGTCCTGCCAAGTGAGTGTACAACGAAAACCTGTAATTGTTTTACATGATGGTAGGATTGCTGGTGTCTTTTGTCTGTCTCATAAACATGCAAAATTTCAGGTACGTCTTGCTACTTCTACTTACACTTAGGTTACACTACACATACATGTACAAGCATATATATACACACCCCTCTAGGTATTCTTCTATTTTCTTTCTAGTTCTTGTTCTTGTTTATTTCCTCTTATCTCCATGGGGAAGTGGAACAGAATTCTTCCTCCGTAAGCCATGCGTGTTGTAAGAGGCGACTAAAATGCCGGGAGCAAGGGGCTAGTAACCCCTTCTCCCGTATAAATTACTAAATTTAAGAGAAACTTTCGTTTTTCTTTTTGGGCCACCCTGCCTTGGTGGGATGCGGCCGGTGTGTTGAAAGAAAGAAGAATTAGGATTAGTCTGCCCAAAATGCCTAGGCATGCTAGAGGCCTTCCTTGTAATTAATATTTTATAATATGTAAACTGCTGTATTCTGAGCACCTCTGTAAAAACAGTGATTGTGTGTGAGTGAGGTGAAAGTGTTGGATGATGATGAAAGTATTTTCTTTTTGGGGATTTTCTTTCTTTTTGGGTCACCCTGCCTCGGTGGGAGACGGCCGACTTGTTGAAAAAAAAAAATGTAAACCACACACTGTAAGCTTTTTCAGGAAATAAACATTTTCATTTTCATACTATCCTGCCATCAGGATGCCGCTCATAATAGACCAATGCCTCGAAAAAACAGCATCACCAACTAGTCCACATAGAATATATACACTGAGAGTTGTATATCTCTCAGTGAATGTGTATACTGATAGTTTACTCAAATCCCCATTTTTTTATGGCAGTGAACAAGTAATATGCAGCCTTAATGACCCCCTTCATGTAGCTGATATGCTTACAGACCCATTAACCAACCATATAAATTATTGCTCAATCGAAATTTTGATCATAAACATATTAAGAGGAAGATAGTGTGATACACGAAATCATAAAATTATCAAATAACAAAAATACCAGGTTAGAGGAATTACTTGTATCTAGCAAATTAAGACAGTTGTAGACTTAAAAAAAATCACAACAGTTGAAAACTTTCTTTCATCTTCTCGAAGCTCATTTTGTTTTTAGCCAAAATATAAAAGCTCAAACTAGTTGCAAAAGAAGCAAATGTATTTACGACTCAATAATACTGCATTCTACTACAGATGTCTACTTACTAACCCATGAGTATGTCTTCAAGTATACAGTGGTACTTCGGTTTTCGTTATTAAACCGATCGAAGAAGTCTGACGATAAACCGAATCATACGAAAACTGAAGCAATATTTCCCATAAGAAATAATGTAAATCAAATTAATCCGTTCCAGACACCCAAAAATATTAACAAAAAATACGTTTTATAAAGAATGACTATAGTTTTACATACAAACTAGGGCATACGAAAACCCAGGTTCCACTGTACAGAGAAAGATTATACAGTGGACCCCCGCATAACGATATTATTTCAATCCAGAAGTCTGTCTGGGTGCCGTTATAGACCGAATTTGTTCCCATAAGAGATATTGTGAATTAGATTAGTCCGTTTCAGACCCCCAAAAATACACCTACAAAAACACTTACAAAAATACACTTACATAATTGGTCGAGTTGGGAACTGATCGTTATGCGGGGGTCCACTGTATAGCAATGTAATTATGAGCTTTTTATGCTAGTTTGAAGTTAAGACATGTAACCATAAACATGGCCACAAGATAGCTCAATACCCACCAAGAAATTCATAACTTCTTCTGCGCGCCATGATTGCCGATCGGATGAGAAACATACATGTCTTCTTGGTGACAAGTCCACTCAGCAGTACCAACAAAATCCCCAACACCAAGCCTGTCTGGGGGTACCAGAAAACTAAGTCGTTAATATACATACACCACTTTAATGTATATGAGAATCACACTAATGATATGTAAAGAAGGACAAGATAAAGACTTAATTTGGATTAGTAACAATAGACGGTTAATAAGCCATGACAACCTAGGAAAGACAAGCAGTGTGGCTTACTTCCACTGGAGTCCAATGTAGGTCCTCATCCCCAAAAAGAGCAGAAAAATTTAGAACTGATATGGGAAAGGATGGAGAATATTACAAATCAAACAGTGGGAAATATCATTTTCAGTATCTTAATGTACACACAATTATACAAAAACAGCCTTAATTATAAACCAAGATTTATTTATTTATTTATTTATTTATTTACAATTTGAGCATACATACAGAGGTACAAAAAAATACAGATAAGAGCAGCATGCCAAAGCCACTTATACTATGCATAGCATTTCGGGCTGGCTTAAAATTAACTAAGCAATGGTGAAATCAGTGATAATACATTATTGTAAACAGATAACTATAAAGCACAAATGAGTATTACAAAGACAGGTCATATGGTTGCATGCATTGTTGTACATTCAGTCGTATGGAGTATTCTGTTAGGTAGTGTATTTAAAAAATAATAAAGTTAGATTGGGTTTTAGGTTAATAATAACAGTAATACTGGCACATTAACACAAATATGATGACTCGAATTTGAAATCAATTAAAAAATATGCTACAACACAGTTATCTAGTGATTGCTCATTTGGAGTTTGGCTAATTTTTATTGAGAGCATCTGAAGGAATAATGCACAAAAAGAATGCTCAAACAATAAGGATCATAAAAAATTATGCAATTATCCAGTGATTATTAAAGTCCAGCACACCCTGCCTTCTTCCAGTAAAGCATCAATATAACTGACTGATGCGAGATACTCCGAGTGTCTGTTAAATCAAAATAACAATAAAAAAATCCTGGAAGAAGTACTAAAGTAATGCTATTGTATATTTAATTTAGTACTGTACACATAACTGACAAGTATGTATATTGTAATAAAGTTGGTAGAATTACCGACAATATGTAAAGTAAAAGGACACAAGTGCAACTAATGTGACATTTTATTGTGGCAACGTTTCGCTCTGTCACATTAGTTGCACTTGAGTCCTTTTACTTTACAAGTATGTATATTGTAATAAATGAGTACAATTCACCCAGTGGACTGTGTCTGTTATTTCAGAAGTCCGTTACATAACCCCATTTTATAGAGGGTTTACTGTACAGTGGACCCCTGCTTAATGATCACCTCCCAATGCGACCAATTATGCAAGTGTATTTATGTAAGTGCGTTTGTACGTGAATGTTTGGGGGTCTGAAATGGACTAATCTAATTCACAATATTCCTTATGGGAACAAATTCGGTCAGTACTGGCACCTGAACATACTTCTGGAATGAAATAATATCATTAACCGGGGGTCAACTGTACTAACATACCTCCTTGAAGCAGTAAGGCATGGAGAGGATGGACACTCCTACTATGGAGTTAGCCATGTTGACAACATGCTTCATGTTCCCTGCCATCCTGCGCGATCTCTTGCCTCTAATCCTAGGACATCTTCAACCTCTAAGGAAAAAAAAAGAAAAACAAAAAAACGAAATTTTTAACTTTCAAAAATGCTAATTCTCAATATCTGGAAAAAAAAAAAAGGCATTAAGATCGAAAGCGTCAAAATGCACAGGTTAACAGTAATATAAAACTTGATTATCTGCAAACTTAGGAAACTTGCACTAGTAATGTCAGTCAGTATTTATATAAATAGGCATCAATTAACCACACAGAAACAGAAGTACATATATAGAGAGAGAGATCACAGTCAGCTGGAAACCATGCCTGAGGCTCACTGGTGTGCACCGGGGCTAGGAAGAAACATGGCTTGTAATCAGGCTACACCTACCATCTGACTTACGACCTGCTCGACTTACAACCACTCGACTTACGACCTGCTCGACTTACGACCACTCGACTTATGACCACTCGACTTATGACCGTGTTTTTTGTGCCAAATTTCTGGGAAATAAACAACTATTTGTGTTGTACACAGTGTTTATCCTAAACCTTACAGTATAAAATACAGTACTAACAGCATAAAAAGTAAAGTAAAACATGAAATACAAAAATAAAACAATAAAATAAAATCGTTACAAAAATGTTTTGTTGATATTCAGTAGTAAAGTTTGACTTACGACCATTTCGACTTACAACCGGTTTCTCGGAACCGAACTCGGCCGTAAGTCGGATGGTAGGTGTACCTAGCTTCTTGTGGCATCTGTGGCTGAGTGGTCTAAAGCATCACACTGGGGAGCTATCCCACTTCCCTCATGTGGGACTGAATCCTGCTGACTGCTTTCTTTCTTTGTATATAAAGTCAAGTGTACAGTGCTGCAAGTCCCTGGGATATATAATTTTTATTATATAATTAAGGGGAATGTAAAATTCTAAGGGGTCATGCAGCACCTGGAGCACGAAAAGCAACTGTTTCTAGGGAGAGAAGGGTAACTCCAATTCCATGGATCAAGAGCTATTCAGCAACATCAAGGCACCTCCCTAGCACAAATAAGTTATACACATAATACACTGCTACTAACCTCAAATTGCCCCCAGTTACAATTTACATTCTTTCAGCATATACGTACTGAAATCAAAATGTACAGTATTTTATCTACGTATCCTCACTTAATTTTGTATTAAGTAATGATAAAGGCTCATATTTGCATGTCCAATAAAACTAATATATATAGCCGTCCTACTCGACTTCTGGTTAGTGTAACTTTGTCAATGGTCCAAGTCGGACCGAAACGTCGTCGTAAGCTTCTCTCTTCTATGTGCGGGTTATTTGTGTAATATAAAATCATTAAGGTTGTCAGAACTGCATACAATGTCAGCAAAACATGTTGCATTCCTGATGTTTCAACATACAAATGAGTCATTTGGAAACCTGTCTTTTGACCTTCTCCTCACTTGACCTACCTCCTGATCCCCTCAAACTGACCTCTCTTCTAACCTCCTCACCTGACCTGCCTTCTGACCTCTTCACCTAAATGCAGTTTACATGTAATAAACGTTGTTAGCTGCAAAAGAAAGCCACTAGTATGCAATGCATTTCAAGCAAACTAATCCTAATGATTAACGACTACATGCACACCCAATTATTATATTCTTTTCTACAACTACGTATCATATCAAAATAAAAATTATTATCATTATTATTATTAATTAGACAGACTATTAAGTAGGATTTCTCATGTAGTTAGCTACAAGACTCGCAAAATTGTAGTGATACAATTGCAAACAAATCATACCACAGGTGGGGCTTGAACCAGTGGTCAGAGAGCCGTCTGGAGTTTCACAACTCTATGACCGCGGGTTTAAGCCCCACCCATGGTATGGTTTAGTTTTTTTTTTTTTTTTTTTTTCAACAAGTCGGCCGTCTCCCACCGAGGCAGGGTGACCCAAAAAAGAAAGAAAATCCCCCAAAAGAAAATGTTTTCATCATCATTCAACACTTTCACCACACTCACACATTATCACTGTTTTTGCAGAGGTGCTCAGAATACAACAGTTTAGAAGCATATACATATAAAGATACACAACATATCCCTCCAAACTGCCAATATCCCAAACCCCTCCTTTAAAGTGCAGGCATTGTACTTCCCATTTCCAGGACTCAAGTCCGACTATATGAAAATAACCGGTTTCCCTGAATCCCTTCACTAAATATTACCCTGCTCACACTCCAACAGATCGTCAGGTCCCAAGTACCATTCGTCTCCATTCACTCCTATCTAACACGCTCACGCACGCTTGCTGGAAGTCCAAGCCCCTTAACCACAAAACCTCCTTTACCCCCTCTCTCCAACCCTTCAGAGGACGACCCCTACCCCGCCTTCCTTCCCCTATAGATTTATATGCTTTCCATGTCATTCTACTTTGATCCATTCTCTCTAAATGACCAAACTACCTCAACAACCCCTCTTCTGCCCTCTGACTAATACTTTTATTAACTCCACACCTTTTCCTAATTTCCACACTCCGAATTTTCTGCATAATATTTACACCACACATTGCCCTTAGACAGGACATCTCCACTGCCTCCAACCGTCTCCTCGCTGCTGCATTTACCACCCAAGCTTCACACCCATATAAGAGTGTTGGTACTACTAAATCATTTGATACCCTCATCACCTTACTCTTTTCTATGTTCACTTTCAACTTTCTACCTTTACACACATTCCCAAACTCATCCACTAACCTTTGCAATTTTTCTTTAGAATCTCCCATAAGCACAGTATCATCAGCAAAAAGTAACTGTGTTAATTCCCATTTTGAATTTGATTCCCCATAATTTAATCCCACCCCTCTCCCGAACACCCTAGCATTTACTTCTTTTACAACCCCATCTATAAATATATTAAACAACCATGGTGACATTACACATCCTTGTCTAAGACCTACTTTTACCGGGAAGTAGTCTCCCTCTCTTCTACACACCCTAACCTGAGCCTCACTATCCTCATAAAAACTCTTTACAGCATTTAGTAACTTACCACCTATTCCATATACAGTGGACCCCCGCATAACGATTACCTCCGAATGCGACCAATTATGTAAGTGTATTTATGTAAGTGCGTTTGTACGTGTATGTTTGGGGGTCTGAAATGGACTAATCTACTTCACAATATTCCTTATGGGAATAAATTCGGTCAGTACTGGCACCTGAACATACTTATGGAGTGAAAAAACATCGTTAACCGGGGGTCCACTGTACTTGCAACATCTGCCACATTGCTCCCCTATCCACTCTATCATATGCCTTTTCTAAATCCATAAATGCAATAAAAACTTCCCTACCTTTATCTAAATACTGTTCACATATATGCTTCAATGTAAACACTTGATCTACACATCCCCTACCCACTCTGAAACCTCCTTGCTCATCCGCAATCCTACATTCTGTCTTACCTCTAATTCTTTCAATTATAACCCTACCATACACTTTTCCTGGTATACTCAGTAAACTTATTCCTCTATAATTTTTACAATCTCTTTTGTCCCCTTTCCCTTTATATAAAGGGACTATACATGCTCTCCGCCAATCCCTAGGTACCTTCCCCTCTTTCATACATTTATTAAACAAAAGTACCAACCGCTCCAACACTACATCCCCCCCTGCTTTTAACATTTCTGTCATGATCCCATCAGTTCCAGCTGCTTTACCCCCTTTCATTCTACGTAATGCCTCACGTACCTCCCCCACACTTACATTCTGCTCTTCTTCACTCCTAATAAATGGTATACCTCCCTGACCAGTGCATGAAATTACCGCCTCCCTTTCTTCCTCAACATTTAAAAGTTCCTCAAAATATTCTCGCTATCTACCTAATACCTCCCTCTCCCCATCTACTAACTCCCCTACTCTGTTTTTAACTGACAAATCCATACTTTCCCTAGGCTTTCTTAACTTGTTTAACTCCAAAATTTTTTCTTATTTTCATTAAAATTTCTTGACAGTGCCTCTCCCACTCTATCATCTGCTCTCCTTTTGCACTCTCTCACCATTCTCTTTACCTTTCTTTTACTCTCCATATACTCTGCTCTTCTTGTAACACTTCTGCTTTGTAAAAACCTCTCATAAGCTAACTTTTTCTCTTTCATCACACCCTTTACTTAACTACAATTATATGCACAATAAGAAAGTTAGCTAATGAATAAATGGTATAATTTCACATCAATTCAATGATGTGCAATTAAGCAGTACTGCGCTTCATAGATCTGACTGACCCCACACCTGCATGTTTCTTCGCTGTTTCAAAGTGGCACTTATTCTTTTCATATATGATAAATCACAAAAAAGATGAACACTATGAATGCTAATCTTCTCATGTATTTTTCTTTTTTTTTTTAACCCTTAAATGGTCCAAACATATAATACGTTCTTGTGTAGCGCCCCAAATGTATATACAGTGGACCCCCGGTATTCGATGGCATCGGTATTCGATAAATCCGGTATTCGATGCATTATATCGCAAAAAATTTTCCTCGGTATTCGATTCAAAACCCGGTATTCGATACGATTCGTACGAGACCTGTCCACGTGTGGCCTGAACTGCCCCATGTGTGCCAGTGTTTACAAGCCAGCCAGTGTGCGTGCATCTAAGGATACATTCGGTACATTCCATATTATCCATATTATCACTGTGTTTGGTGCTTGTTTCTGCAAAATAAGTCACCATGGGCCCCAAGAAAGCTTCTAGTGCCAACCCTGTGGTAAAAAGGGTGAGAATTAGTATGGAAATTAAGAAAGATTTTGAAGGGTTTGGGGCTAACCCTGAGAAGCCTATACCAGTTGTGGAATACATTGTGCCTACTTCAAAAATTAAGGAAATGTGTGCACAGTGGGTTGAAGTGCAAACCTTTATGGATGAAAATCACCCTAACACAGCTATTACAATGACAATGTTGTGGCCCATTTTAGACAAATCGTAAAGGAACGGGAGGTACAGAGCCTATGGACAGATTTGTTGTGCGACAGAGGTCCAGTGACTCTCAAGCTGGTCCTAGTGGCA